ATAAGATTCTAATCCGCCCCACCCGAATGCTGAATGAAAGTTGTGTTTTATTGTTTTATTTTTTATTTATGCACTGTCTTATGTTTTATCTTGCACCCCCCTTCCCATGAACTGTAAGCCGCCCTGAGTTCCCCTCAGGGAAAAGGGCGGCCTATAAATAACAAATAAATTCTAAAATTCTGAAATTCTCTGAATTGCTCTGCTGAATTGCTCTGCTGAATTGCTTGCACTGTTAGTATGAGCCCTGTTATTTAAGCCCTGTATCCTGTACCTGTACCCAGGAGTAGAAGACAACAGTTCTTGATTTTCTACTATGTGATATCCTGCATTAATTCCAGTAACTTTGGCTGGCCTTACAGGGCAGTGGGCTGTAGGAACAAGAATATCTACACCTAAGAATCCGACCCGTTTACTGTGATTTCTCCAGACTTTGCATTTGTCCTGAGAGAGTCATTCAAGCAAGAGTGAGCTTTGCTCTTTCCAGATCACTGCTTCTTGATGTAACATGAATGTTTGGACTGAATTCGATAGCAATCATGTGGTGCTCATGTTCACCCTATTGCCATACCTGGAAAGAGGTCAAATTCCTTGATGTCTCTTTAAGCAAAACTGTTCTTGTAGATCTAGCTTGCAAGCAAGTGGTCTGCTAAGTTCTGGGAAAGAACTATTGGATGCAAACAGGGAAAAACCATACTGTGTACATGAGGCCAAAAGACTGCTGTATAAAATGTAACTTGGAATTGGCAGGAGGGAAGCTGAGTTAGATGGGGTGGAGTTGTTACTTTGCAGGTTTGAAGGCTGGCAAGGCAAGAAAATAAGAGGGCAGAGCTGAGCAAAGACATTTTTAAGAGCTCTTAAATACATGTTTAGTAAATAGCAAGAGAAGCCATCTACGTACATTTGCACAAGCCGGGATTTTTTTTTTTTTTAGTGAATACAGGAAAAGCAACAGGCTGCCATAGAATAGCAATTTTTTGTATGGTAATTTTTTGGGGGGAGCGAGTGGTGGATTAGTTCATTGAAGCAGACAGAATGTTGACACTACAAAAGTCAATGTTTTAAATCATTGCCTTTCTCACTTGCGTAGGGTATTTTTATGTGGTTTGTTTTTAAGCTTTTGCAATCTTTAAATATTAATCCTTATTTTGTAATCGTATCACTTCAAGGCAAAGGCCTTGCCAGAACAATAAGAGAATACATAGCAGGGGAATTGCTGCAAAAGTCCCGATGAGCGCCAATTGCAAATCATTCAGTTTTGCAACAGTATTTTACCCTGGCCCAGGTAGGAATGCTTATGGCTCAAATGATGTTTGACATGGTTTAATCGCCAAATGAAGAAGCCCAAAAGCTTTGAATGGGATTTTGAAATCTCTCGTGTTTGAGACGCTGTTATTATGATGCATAGTTATTATGAGATAATCCAAACACTTTGAAGTCACCCAGAGTCATCGCAGAGGAGGACAGTTGTGGATTAGTAACGAACATTTTTGCATTAGCGCAGCCCTATGACAATGTGCCTGGTAGGTCTTGATCCTGAGATCATAGGGTGAGGCTGCATCTGAGCACAGTTGATTTCCAGGCAATGAAACCAAGTTTCCCCCCTCATTTTTCTGATGCTAGTTCTCCTTCCACCTATATCATCTAATGGCTTCTTTTCTTGATGTGGGTCTTCATCTATCCTTGTTATAACCCTGTTCAGATAAAATGTGGATATCACTGCATGAAGTGGTTTTTAGAACAGGATCATATAGGTGTGACCCTTCTACTGATTTCTGAAGATTCATAAGCCAACATGAGTCTAGGCCTGTGATGGTGAACTAATGTACTAATTGTTCTATAGTTCCTTGGTCTCATAGCAAGATGGCAATACACTAGTGGCAAGATAAACATATTGGGAAGTGGCTAGCTGTAAATTTTTACAAACACATCTGCTTGCAATGCAAACTCATGGATAGAGAACAGTTAAAGTTATCTTTAGAGATGAAAGGGTTGAACCTGTGGGAAAGAAGTGATGTCTCATGTGAGATTTTACCCTTCAGATGAAGTGGTCTGGTGGGCAGATTTTATGCCCAGGATATTATTTTTTCTTTTCCTAATCTGAGTTTGGTCACTTTGAGTGCAAAAATATACTTGAATTAAAGCAGCTGGATAAGCATGGCATTCATATGACAGTTGACTAGATTGCTAGAATGTCGGATATCAACAACAATAATAAAAAAGCATATAGTAATGAGCATCTTAGTAACTAGGTTGCACAGGCAGCCATGCTCTGCCTCAGTGAGGCATTTCATGTCACTTAGATGATGCAATTTGCTACAGTGAGTAGATTGCATTGTTTGATGACTCTTCTAGCTGTTCCAGTAGCTAGAAGAAGTTCTCAGATGTCTTCATTGACTCCTAGTTACCTTCTGGCTTCTAGAATTACTAATCAAGGCCTTGGGAACCATGAATCAATGAGGCTACTTTTGTTTTAACTCATCCCTCCAAAGCTTTGCATAACCATCTTGGCTACAACAACAGACTACCACTGAAATAGGCAGTATATACTGTATTCTTCAACTGATGTGTTGGATGACCATCTATATAATTTCTAGCATTTACTTTGTCCTTGATTGGCTGGCTCTAGTGAAAGGCTGTTTTTCTACTGTAGGCTATATTGACGTGTGTTTTTCCATAGGTGAGCTGTCGTTGGAGGCAAGTAGCACACTGTTTAGATCCTGCTGTAATGTGACCCTTTTAATAGATTAAATTCAATTTAGGACATATGACTACTTAACGCAGAACAGCAAATGGTTTACCTTTACCTAACAAAACTAAGTAAGGTATATTGACACCACTGGAAGAGGGGGCATTCTCTCCATCTCACAAAATACATATATAAGTAGAGCAAATTAAAAAATTGAAATAACCAAGCATTCTTTGGACCTATATCCAGGTTTCAACTGGCTCAGCATTCCAACTACAGCAAGATGAGTAATGGAGACCAATCAATAATGCATTACATTATTACTAGCAGTTCATGGCTCAAATTCATAATCTGTTTCAATTTGTATACCTCATTGCTGTCTTGCATTAAATTAAAGAGTTCATTCACCATTCTTCTGTACCTCAAAACAATATTTTAAAAATCCTTTGGAAGATACCATCTGCATTTTATTTTTATTTCTTCTGGAGAAATTCAACTTAGTTCTTTCCCCTGCCTCTCCCCTCAAAAATAGTAGTCATGCTCACTAGGGAAGAAACAGACATTGGACTTTATAATCCTGCTTCCTAGTTTTCTCTTTCAATTTAAAAAGTCATTAGTTTTGGTTGCTGACAATGCATTATTTTATGTAGTTATAATTGCACACTATTAATAAATTCTGTACAGATATTAAAAATAGACTAAACAAACAAAATCATATAATAGGGCTTCAGTGCAATCTCTTCCCCCCAGGAGTATTTGCCACTGAACACAGTGGGATTTACTGCTGTGTAAGCATGCATAAAATTTCTGTCTTAACACTATAGAGTAAGAAGATAGAATTTCAAATGAGCAGTCTTATGAGATCTTCCCCATTTAGATCATTGAGTCTACTTTGCTCTTTGGGGATTCAAAATTAATCCATGATCACTAATTTTAGTTAGGGGGAGTCACCTTCAGTCTGAACACAAAACCAAAAGCAGGCCTTGTGGGCAAGATTGATATTTTCAGTCAATGGGAGGATAGGGTGAGTGGATTTTCTTAATTTAAGGGTGAGGTGATCTGTTAAGCCTTGCAGACATATAAGGTGCTACCTCTATCCTTCAATCTCTATTTTTTATCTCCCAGATAAGAAGGCAAAAGTATGTAAAGCTTTAAGATATCTACTTCATTTACATCAAAAAAAGAAAAGGTAAAGTTTTTCCCTGTCCAGTTGTATCTGACTCTAGAGGTCAGTGTTCATCTCCATTTCCTAGCTGTAGGAGCCAAAGTATAAGAAGATGCTTCTGTGGTTATGTAACTGGCCTGACTCTACGTTGAGGTGCATAGAACACTGTTACCTTCCCAATGAAGTGGTCCCTATTTACTTACTAGCATTTGCATGCTTCCAGACTGTTAGATGGTCAGGATCCTCCCCAAACACTGACTCCATTCAATCCAGTGATGCCATGATCAATGGTTGGATTCAATTTTTTTTTACTACCAGTTCTGTGGGCGTGGCTTGGTGGGCATGGTGTGGCTTGATGGTTGTGGCTTGATGGGCATGACAGGGGAAGGATACTGCAAAATCCCCATGGGGATGGGTGGTATTTACCAGTTTTCCAAACTATTCAAAATTTCTGCTACCAGTTCTCCAGAAGTGGTCAGAACCTGCTGAATACCACCTCTGGTCATGATGCTATCATCCCTCTAGTCCGTGGAAATGTATTGTTGTTGTGGCTACAAAAGGTTGTCCACCTCTGTTTTAAGCTGATATATTCTTTTTCTTTCTAGGCTAGATGCTACTGCCAGGATAATATAATCTTAGAAATCCCAAGTCCTCTCAAATTGAAAAAAAGGATTAACCTCAAAACTGAGTTGAGGAAGAAAACTATATTTTCTGTCTGCAAGATACTGTCATTATTAGGCTACTAACAATATGAAAGAAAAGCAGGATGGACTACAGCAGTGTTTTTCAACCACTGTGCCGTGGCACACTAGTGTGCCGTGACATAGTGTAAGGTGTGCCGTGGGAGAATTACTTTATATATAGTCAATATAGGCACAGAGTTAAAAATTTTTAACATTTTCTAATGGTGGTGTGCCTTGTGATTTTTTTCATGAAAAAAAGTGTGCCTTTGCACAAAAAAGGTTGAAAAACACTGGACTACAGAACTGTGGAATCTCTGGCATTCAATCCATCTGGGCTGTGGGAAGCATTTGTCACTCCAGTGAAACTCTACCGCCCATCTTTTCACTGGGGAGTAGCAGTTTCCTTCAAGGTGACGCCTTGAAATAGCGCTTCCCCTGGATTTTGCCTGTTACTTAGCTGTAGCGATAGGCAGGAAAAGCCAGCTTTCAGCAATTGGCCTCTGAAGGCATCTCAAGCTGGGTACATTTTTAAGTACATGCATCAGGGAGGGATCATTTCAAAGCATTCCTATGTTCTTCAACCTGCTACTCTAAAAACTATGTGACACTGGAGGTGGATATGGTTTTAGAGGAGGCAAAGCTTTCATAGAACTGTTACATCATCTGACCAACTTCAGGGCTTCTAGAGGGATCTGGTCTTTAAGCCAGATCCTATACCTTAGTTTAATGTAAATTAGCTTTGTTGATTTGCATTAAAAAGTCACTTAAATCATTTGTGTTTATTCAAGCACAGTTGTATGGGAGTATCAGCTTATCAAAGCTATTTCTTGGGAACAAGAATTACACAACAGATTATGCAGATTTATTTGCAATGTGAATGAGATAAGGAGAATGAAGCTGCACTGATGTATAATTAGGAAAGTATCTAGGTTACAGATAACTTCAAGCTGGGCAAGTCTGGGTGAAGGCATCCTGTTGACTTCACCCATTATCATTCGCTCTTGTTATTTACCTCCTAATCTTGCCTTCTCCTACATACCAACCTCCACATGTTATGGGAATCCCAGGCAATCCAGACAGAGGATGAATAAATACAAGTGGCGTAGCCTGCCTTCTTTCTTTAAGACATTTGTTTTGAGAATTCCTTAAAATGTGGTTCTTTTAAATACATTTGTGTAGTTTTAAATGGCCATTGTCAGAGGGTGATCAACATCTTTCAGGTTTCAATACTAAATAGATAATCACTCACCTAACAAAGACTGAATTACAGGGGCCTGCCTGCAAATTCATACTCTTGAAAAATTGTTCTAAAAGCATACACAGTTATAATTAAGAAAAAAACTCTTAATTACATGATCCGAAAGCTGCCTCTGCCTGCCACCCAGATCCATACAATTGGTACCCTCACAAGTGTGTGTGTCAATCATTTTGCGTGAGTCTGTGTTATGAACTTTTCAGTGGGTTCTCTGCGCATGTGTTCACATATACATACCCTTCAATTTAAGGAAGACTGGAATAACCAGAAAAGTAATGAATCTAGGACACAACTGACCCATTTTTTAAACCATATTCTGGTCCTGTCACACTTTCAAAAGATCAAAAAACACTGTTTTGTATTTTTTTTTAAAGCTACTTTTGTAACAGCAGAAGACAAAATATATATTTTTTAAAAAGGTTCTGTTAGACTTCTAACCTTCTCAGTCCTTGACAGGTGTGAAAATAATTCTGCTTTTTCATATATATATAAATTCTCCATTTCCTGATTGAATCTAAAGCTGGAAAGAGCCATACTATAACATTACCCTGAAAAGTCTCAGCTCAATTTCGGGCTCAGCTGGAGATGGAAAACCTTTGAGAATTCAAGACTCAAACTCTTGGCTAGAAATAGTTCCAGACGGAATACATTCAAAATGAAAGTAAGAGTTGTTGTACAAATCCAGTTAAGACTGGTAGGGACCTCAGAGAGAAGTCAGACTGCTTTATAATTAGCTGAATTCATCTAACTCCTTAAAAATGAAAAGTGGCAAAATAAATCTTCCTAATACAGGTAGCGATGAAAGAAATAACCTTCCTTACCTCTTCCAAAGGAATCCTGGGACTGGAAGTCATCCGATATTGATCGAGCTCTAGGTTTTTTGGCCCTCCCCCCATTTTCCTGATAGAGGCAGGAGAGGAGAAGGCTGAGGATCGTTGGAGTGAGCCATACTTCATCATGCTTGTTCCAAACCGGATTCCATCCAATAAACGTATCAAAAATAGGTTGGAAGGCAGTTCTTCAATATTGCTGAGTACAAGGGTTCGACATTCAGGGCATCTCAGCTCCTTGTGTGATTTCAAAATTCTCTGGAGACAAGGCTTACAGAAGGTGTGCTGGCACGGAAGCACCTTAGCGGAGGCATCCAGCTTTTCCAGGCACACTGGACACTCTAGCATGTCGGATAAAGATAAATTGTCCATGATGATATTGATGTTCTACTCAGTGAAAAGCTCCAGCCTCAGGATGATCTAGAAAAGTCCACATGGTTGGAAAGAGTTGGTTTGTTCAGGAATGTCCCATGCAGCATACTGGTAATTGTAAACTCTAAGAGTTACTGTATTCTATAAAGAAAGTAACAGAAGAGAGAAATTATAAAGCATAAATATTTCAGTATTATAAAATGCATGCTGCCAACATTTCAAGAAACCCTTCATTAAGCAGTTTGCGCGTGGTATGTTCTCTCCTTTGCTCCTCATGTAGGTGTGACATTATTCATGTCTGAATAAGTATTAGATAAACATAAATATACCCAATGGTCAACTGGCATCAAGAAAGACCTAAAGACCCAATTTGTTGTTGCAGGTAACCATTGAATAGTAAGAGAGACCTTGTTCCTTCCATCCCAATTGAGTTGATCACAGTAAGACAATACGCTTCTTGGAAGTATTGCAGGGTGATCCATCCATCTTCAAATAATGCTACATAAAAAAAGAATTATGTTGTGAATGTGACCAATCACACCACATACAGTACAAACAGAAGGGATTCTGTTGAGGCAGAGCTGAACACATTCTCCTCTCCCTTCTTTGAAACTACCCACTTTATCATGTTTCTGCATTTCCACAATTTTCTCCTAGGAAAATCACATTAATAAAAGACTGTTTTGGCATACCTGGAAATAAAGCAACCCGTGCTTGATTTCAAGAGACTGGCAATGCAGTTTGCTTTGTCTTTAATAGTTGACAATCTAATACCCCCCCCAAAAAAGGGGGGGGATATTATTCCACCCACAGCAGAAAAGTTACCCAACCTGTTCAGCACCTTTCCCAACAGTATACCAAGCCAAAGCAGTGCCGATATTTCATCCTCATTTCAAGTCCTGGCCTGCAGAAATGAGTCCCATGCCATCCCACATCAAAACACTGCCTGCTAATGAAGACTGAACCTTGTATATCGAGTCCGATCAAATGTTTCAAGTGTCGCAATTCCTGAGACACTTCCTTTCCTTTCCTAAACTTGAACAATCCAACCTTGCTCTCTTTGTGACTCAGACTGCCGAGGAAGAGTGATCAGCTTCAGGGGCTGAGCTATCTTGCTGAGTGCTGAAGGAAGAAGCTATGGGGGGGAAAAGAAAGAGATAAATTAGAACAGGCTCCTAATTTTAGTGCGTGCTACTGACCTTGCATTCATGACCCTCTTTAAAATGAGTCCATCTCAAGGAATACCAGCTCCAGAGCTTGCTTTTTTCTCTTTCTCTCACTCTGAATTGCAGCTGCATTGAAAACTTTAACTAGGTGCATTACTCAGCTAAAGTTAACACGTGCTGCCTTGTTAACTCATATGTTGCCGGGCTGCTTACTCCTACACAGATTTTTAGATCAGAGAAAAGCGTGCAATCTGATTAGGCACCAGGAGGGAGCTGTTTGCTTGAAACCACAAATACGCATTTGAATTATTTTGGCCTTGATTACAGTACATTGGATCAATAATCTGGCATAGTTTGTTTGTTTTCTTCTTGAGAAGCTGATCTTGTTTTAGAAGCAGAGGGGGAGTGTAAAATGGGGATTAAAAAAAAAAAAACCTCCACAACAAGCCTGTCAATAAAAGCAGAGAGGTGCCACAGAGAATGAAGAATGCATTTTGGGATGCCAATAAAAATTAGACCCAAACACCCACTTACCTAGAAGTAGATTATTATGGAGTAGACCTACGTGGGATTGCATATTTAGAGAAATGAAACTTCAGTCTCAAGAGGCATCTGCTGGGGGAGTGAGTGTTTTTGTTTCAGATCCAGCAACTTTCTTCTAAATAGTTCATTCTTTGCCACTGACTTTGCCCAAAAGGAGAGAGACAAGATCTAAAACAAAGTCTTCATTTGAGAGCAGAGTTTAGCTGTGCTGAAAGAAAACAGCTTGGTTGCAACTTGGATTAAAATCCATATTTCCTCTGCTGCTATTCACTTGAGCTGGAATTATGTTTAGAAGTGACCTCTTAAATAAAAGAAACTGCATCAAAAGGAGCTTGAAGAAAGTCCTTGGAATGAGTCAATGAAGTAGCCTCTACCCCGTGAGAGCCTGACCAAGACAACTCATAATGCCGTCACTTTCCAGAGAACAATAATCCTCCAAACCCCTTCAGTTTTTTTAAAAAAATTGCTTCTGTTTGGCACCTTTTCAGCTCCACAGTATCCTTGTTGAAGTTTAGTAACCAGCACTGTATAGGTACTGTAGTCTTCAACTTATGCTAGGTCGCTTAGCAATTGTTTGAAATTATGAGGGACTCACCTTGGGGCTACTATTGACCTGGATTTGAAGTTCTGATGGTTCACCCCCATGTAGTCAAATGATGCTCTTCAGGTGCTTAGCAACATGGCCACGTTTGTAGCTATTTGCAGAGTCCTGAAGTCATGTGATTGTATTTTAGGAAAGTTTTGCTGAAAATCTGCTTTTCTATACTTTTCAGCAAAACTAGGCCCATAGAGATTCATTGACCATGGAATTTACTTAACAGTCGCCACAAAAGGATCATAAATTGGGTCAGTCCTGTGACCAACCTGTTTTACAACCACCATGACATTTCATGGACAGGCTCCACTATGGTTTAAATCAAAGACTACCTGTATATGTAATTATTGAGTCTGTCATCTGCACCTCTATAACCGTCTGGTTTGGCTCTGCAAACAAACAAGACAGACACAGATTTCAACAGATAATTAGAACTGCAGAAAAAAACAATTGCTACCAACACGCCTTCCACTGAGGACCTGTATACTGCACGAGTCAAAAAGAGGCTTTGATAATATCTACAGACCCCTCACATCCTGGATGTAAATTGTTTCAACTTCTAGCCTCAAAACAATGCTACAGGTCCTGCACACCAGAACAATTAGAGAGGACAGTTTTCCCCTGAATGCCACCACTCTGTTAAACAACTAATTCCCACAATACTATGAAATTATCTACTGAGACTGTATTGCTATTATTCTTCTCTTCCTTCCTATTACCTATCTCTTTCCTAGTACCTATCTCTTTTCACTTATGACTATAACCATGTTGCTTCTATCTTTAAAATTTATATTATTTTATTTGTTTCCTAGTATAATTTGATTGCTTATTAGTAATCTATGACTATCACTATGTGCTGTATCTTATGATTCTTGATGAATGTATTCTATTTTATTTTTCTTTATGTACACTGAGAGTATATTTATTTATTGTATATTTATTTATTGGTACGATTCATAGGCCGCCCAATCCTGGAGGACTCTGGGCGGCTTACAACGAAGGAAGAAGGAATAATAAAAAATGAAAATAAGAAATAAAAAATAAAAAACAGGTTAAAATCAACACACATACATTCGTTATGATCGGGGCTGGACCTCAACAATGAGGTCAACAGCCCCAGGCCTGCCGGAATAGCCAGGTTTTAACAGCTTTTCTGAAGGCCATGAGAGTNGCTGGACCTCAACAATGAGGTCAACAGCCCCAGGCCTGCTGGAATAGCCAGGTTTTAACAGCTTTTCTGAAGGCCATGAGAGTGGGTAAGGTCCGTATATGCACCAAAGACAAATTCCTTGTGTGTTCAATAACACTTGGCCAATAAAAAATTCTATTATATTCTTTCTATATGCATACACTCCAATATTGCATTCATGCTGTACACTGGTGGGTTTCACATTTTGTTACCACCAATTCACCGCATGTACCCTCGCTCACTTCACGCATGTGCTTGGCCTTCCATGCATGCGCTTTGCTCACACGTGTGCCTTCTGCACATGCACCCAGCCTCAAAAACATGCTTAAATAGGACAGCATAGAGCTGGGGTGGGTTGGTGGGTGTTTCTGCTACTGGTTCGGGCAAACTGATCTGAACCAGCTGAATATCACCTCTGATGCTATTCACAGAGTTGTATTAAAGCATTAGGATAATGATTGTTGCCTACTGTTCTTTATGATATCAAAGGTGGAAATTGAAATATACACATGGTATCAACGTTTTCCTTAAGCATCACAATCTCAAATTCCTTTCCTGTTTGGTCAATTCCTGCTCATATGCATCAGGAGAACTGAGATTTGTAATATGCCTCATTTAATACTTGCTTATGTTGAAAAAAAATGAAAAGAACTATTTAGATGGATGGAACAGTGAAAAATGATGTGGATTACAAAAAACCAAAACAAAATATTTTGAAAGTGCCTTAAATCTACTCAGTGGCATCTGGGTATGGATAAATTAGAACCAATGTAAGTTAGCAGATGTTTTGTTTTTTGTTGATTGTTTTGTCTGTGTGACAAAAGACAGTCCATCCATAGTGGTTAATCAACTCTTAATCAAGATTTTAAGTAGTTTTCTTTAAATTACACATGCCATTAAAAAAAATTGTGTAACAATTAATCGAACTATCAAATTGCAGGCGGACAGCAGTCAGCTGAAGTATCCCACGGTACTGCAGTCTAACCACTGCATCACCATAGCTTTCTATAATTACCATATTTTTCAGAGTATAAGATGCATCTTTTTCCCCTAAAAAAGAAGGTAAGAATCTGGGTGCGTCTTATACACTGAATGCATCATTTTTGGCCTGCTGAAACCCCGCCCCCTTTGCAAAAATGGACGTGCAGAGGGTTTGGGAGGCTTGCTAAGTACTCCTGAGGGCTGGGGAGGGCAAATACGAGCAAAAAATGGGCCGTTTTTCCTCATTTTTGCCCCCCCAGCCCCTAGGATCACTCTACAAGCCTCCCAAAGCCCCTGCATGCTCCCCCCCTTTTTTNAGGGTCAGAGCAGCCACAGAGAAGGCCCTCCTCGAGGGAGCCGCCAGCCGAGATTGTCGGGCTGTTAGCATCTGATGGAGGCCCACCCTGTAGGATCTCACCGGCCGTTGGGAGGAATGTGGCAGTAGGTGGTCTCGTAGGTATGCTGGCCCTAAGCCATGTAGGGCTTTAAAGGTAATAACCAACACTTTGAGTAGAGTAGAATAGAATAGAATAGAATAGAATAATAACCTTATTATCACTTTAAGGTACACTAGATGCTATTTTTAGTGGACATTCTTTTAATTTCCATTAGCTGCAACTGAAAAAAACTCCATAAAACTAAAATATGTGTAGCATCCATGACAGCCAGGTATGTCTTTCACCTTAAGGAAAAGCTGATTCATGTTACAGCAAAACCTGGCTTCATACTCAACTCACTGTAAGCTGAACTTGGGTGACTTGGCACTGTATCTTATTTTAAGAGTTCTGAAATGCCTAGCTTCTAGCGCTGTATGGTGATCTGCTGCCACCTGGTGGTGAAACTTTGTCCTGACATTAAGGCAGGTGTAAATATGGGCGATCAACATTTGTTGTCTTGACAAATCATAAAATACGGTAAAACATAATGATGGATTTACTTTACCCTTTTCTTAATTTCTATGTGAGTTCTTTGTCAGAGAGAAATATTTTCTGTTTCATGAGGCCAAGGGCTTATCAGTGTGTTGTAATAAGGAAGGCTTGCTTTTTAATATGAGGAAGACTAATGTTCATAATGAAGATATCCTCTCAATAAATGGACATCTTAATTTAATAAAAAATGTGGAATACTAAATCTATCAATGAAGGGAAACTGTTGTATTTTAGTACACTTTTTCATAGTTGGTAAAATAATAAAACTGCAGAAAGCATTTTCTTGGTGAATTAATTGGTAAGGAAAAAAAATAGTAAAATTCAGGCTGTGTGGAAATTTTTCCTTCCCTTTACTTAGGCTATAGGAAAATGATCATTCCTGAAATCTTCCAGTTCTCTTACAAAACTGGACTCCTTTGTTGAAATAGGTCTCCATGCCTAAATTAGAACAGAACTCTTAATTTAAAACTACAAAAACCAAAAGTGGTTGAGAATGTAATATGCATATAGGAGAAAACCCTGGGTCACTGCAACCGTCATAAGCACAAGTCAGTTGCCAAGCATTTGAATTATGGTCCCCTGACCACGGAGATGCTCAAATGGTCATAAGTGTGAAAAGTGGTCATAAATCTTATCTTTTCAGTGCCATTGTTAACTCCTCTCTTCCTCCCTCCCTCCCCCTCTCCCTCCTCTCAGTTCTTCCCTTCTTCTCTTCTCTTCCTCCTTAGGTGCACTCCCAAAGCAACTTGAATACCATCGGCATTAACGAAATCGCCACCAGTCAGTTGCAAAGGCAACTTGATGTGGAGCAGCTTATGTCAATTCCTTCAAACACCAACATTTGCCTATCAAAGATTCTGAGGAAGAACTTGATGGGAGGATAAAAATGCTAAATTATTTGGTGCTTTTAAGTCAACGTTGATTGGCTGGCCCATGGGTTTTTTGCTAAAGGACAAGGACTCATGATCTCACATTTGCAGCCTGGTCTCTTAATCATTACACTAAATTGGCTCTCAAACTGGAAATTACCTACAGAAATTTTTCCAATACCGATCTCCTGTGGTGTCCATTGACTATTCTTTCCAATTAATTATCTATTTGGTCCAGAGATGAGCTTAATGCATTCTGTACCGTGCTAAATAAATGTTGTTTTCAAATTGAAAACATGAGTGCTGCTGTTAAAAAGCCTCCTAAAATTAGCATACACACATCCCTTTTTCTCAGGGACAATTCTTTCTGCATTCACATGGATATGTTGCCTGCAATCTTGATTTTATTCCTTGGGTGCCCAGGTAAAGAAAACCGCACCCTGAAAACTTAGAGAAAAGGCTACAGAAAGAAGTACTGCTAATTAGACGAAAGTACATTTTCTTCCAAGTCATAATGCAATTAATCAGAGGCAAAATGGGAATACAAACGTAAGCAAATTCAAACTAATTAGCATTTGCTGATGGAACATGTAGCTGTCACGGCGGCTAAGGATATTAAACATAACTAGCATTTA